CACCATTGCCTTCCAGTCACTGGAATTACAGGAGTGCGCCACTACTCCCAGCTATAGGCACACCAGCTATAGCTCATACACTACACTACTCACCCCTACCAACACTTCACTGCAATACACGACACAACAGCCAATCACATGTTCAGTATGAGTGAGTGTTGGCATTGATTTGATGGCATCAAGTGTTTTGGTTTTGTAATGTTTGACACAAACCTGTTTTATATGTCATTTTATTTATCCCTTTAATTGAAGTTCAATTAAAACTTATTAACAATTGTTATGTAATTAATAGACAACAAAAACTGACCAAAATATTAGTCCAAATGTATGGCATTTGTCTGATTTGTTTGATGTAATGTATGGTTAAGTTTGAGTGCAATTCATAACTATCTCTAAACCGGTCTATGATTTGAAACACGTGTTAATTATTGCATACATTTAAAGGCCGTATAAATTGTGGTTAATATTTGACTGACTCTTAGCTAATGCAAGCAATCGGTGGATAATTATAGCCATAAACAGTATAAAGTGTTGTCATATTACAGATGGTATGCATTGACAGACAATTAGCATAATATGAAGACAAACGGATGATATGTTTGAAGACCTGTTTGTTTGGATCCTGTCTTTCACTTCACGTGTACTTAACCTCAAAATACGTGAGTTTTAGGACCACTTGTTATCATCAATACATTGAACGTTGAATACAAGTTTTCACGTCCCCTCACAACTCCAATACTTGTCTCACATTTATGCCAAATATTTCCCAAAAATATCTATTCATTTGTGAAACTCTTCGACTAATTATTGTTTAATTAAATAACATTTTTTCTAATTTAAAGCTTTGATTGAGTTTATTATTCAACAAAAAGTGCCAATAAATTGCTATTCATTTAACATATGATTATCAGTGCATATAATATATACGAAATGTACAAACATTTACCGTTAGTCTAATATCTGACCTTATATTTAATGCTCACAAATCACTGCATAATCTATTCAAACAGTTTTGTGGTTTGGATTTGAAAAACAAAATTAATTATATTTTGTTTGGAAATAAAAGTTTGCTTTTTTCACATAAATAGTGAAATATTTGTGTGAAGTATTGATTTGAAATCAAATCCAGTTATAAAGTTATAATAAGTTGAGCGCACAATGAGTACAGCAGACCTCAAGAATCCGGTATTTATGGCCAAATCATTTCTGGCCGGAGGTATCGCCGGCATGACCTCCAAGACAGCGGTCGCACCACTCGATCGCATTAAAATCCTCCTTCAGGTCCATAACAATCACTACAAAGAATTCGGAGTTTTCTCTGGACTTAAGGCTATCATCAGAAAAGAGCGATTTATTAGCCTTTATAAAGGTTTTGAAACTTTTTGTCACATTTGTTAAAACACTTATATAACGAGTAAATGATGTATTGATAGGAAATGGGGCCCAAATGGTGCGGATCTTCCCATACGCTGCCGTGCAGTTCAGCTCATTTGAGATCTATAGGAGAGGTCTATCCATATTCACCCGCGAGTCTGAGTCGGGAAAAGTGAATCATTCCTTGAAATTCTTCGCCGGCTCTATGGCTGGCGTGACCTCAGCTTTGATGACCTATCCATTGGATTTAGTGAGGTTCATTCGCTAATAAAATTTTTATTACAATTGTTTAATAATCTTTGTTTTAAATGCCATTTCGTTGATTACTTTCAGACAAATTTTTCAACGAATCACATCTAACGCTCCGATATGTGGCCAACACTTTGATAACTTATATTTAGACAATCATTTGTGGACTAATTATACAGATATACCCGAAGACAGCTTCACTGGCGTCACCTTCTCTAATATCTTTCTCCAGGCGTGTAATGAATGCAATAAATATAAGCTAACAATACATCCGAAAGCGTTTGGAAAGACTCGACAATCTGTGCAGTCTTTGGTGTTTTCAACAAATGTTAACTCAAAATCAATTGAATTTCGCGATACATTTGTTGCGGTCAACAGTTTAGTGAATGTCAGACACATTGCAATTAATGCGGGCTTTGAATCGTTAACAGCGCACACATTTAGACCGGTTATATCTTCGGGCGCCGGTCAGACCAAACTCAAAGCCATCACAATTAGAGGCCAATCATTGAGAAACATAGAGAGCTATGCATTCTATGCGCTCTCAAACTTGGATTTCATAGACGTTTCCAACAATAAGATCGATACCATTGAAAGACACGCGTTTGCCTTCAGACAGAAGTCATCGAAAACATTAATGATAGACATGAGAGGCAATAATCTAAACAGCGGTTCGCTAGAGAGGGGAGCACTCAGTCACATCTCAAGACCCGTGGAATTGATGTTATTCTCCAATAAGAGCGAGTGCTCCGAGAAGTTTCAGTATTTGGATGAAAACATATTCGCGCCGTTCTTTGCCTTCGATAAGCGAAATACAATCCATTTGGGTCCGTGTCCTGTGATCTGCGATTGCAACATGAAGTGGTTGGTCGACGCACCCCAACACTGGAGGCTACAGATCAGGGGCGGCGACGACCAGAGGGTCTCGTATTTACAGTGCGTTCAGGAAAACTCATTGTTCGCGAAGAAAAGCGAAGATTTCGGTAATTGTGTTGAAGATTGTGATCAGGACTTCATGGAAATGGATTCACACTCTAAGGTCGTGTGTCATCGAAAATATTCAATGAATGCAAACATGATTTTCAAATAACTTTTTAATAATAGTATATATTTATTTAAATTTCAAGTAAAAAACATTTGTTAATATTTTTAGATTCAAACCGTTTATTAGCATAACATTGATCTAAACATTGGGTAATCTCAGAGATTTACAAAAATCATTGAATTAACTTTAAATGCATAAATATATATTAAATTATAAATGTGTATAAGTTATACAGTATAACAATATCATATCTTTTATACAAAAACACTTATCAAACATTAATTCAATGAATTATTAAATATAAATATAAAATATCAATAAACAATAATTGCAAATAATTTATAACATTATAAGTCATTTTAAATCACACAAATAATGTGGGGTAATCATGAATCATGATAAATGGCAATAAATAGGTATTAAACTCCAGTCTCGAGTCCAAGCATTTGTTTGCATATTTCATAAGTGCTGAAAGAGACGGCAACCATAGGTATAGCTCTGATGTAATTAATACTCATTCCTCTGTAAAGGCCGCGAACCACTCCATAGTCCTTATAAGTGATGGACAAAGTCTTGAACAGCCCTTCCGAGTACTTCTTGGTCTCATTGCTGGTCATCGAGAGTTGCATTCGTCTTCGGGCCACGTCTAGCGGGTATATAGTTGTCTGTCCGATAGCGCCCGCAATACCACCGCATAATAGTTTGCTGGGAATGTTGAGCACTGTTTTGCCGTCCTTTTCGTACCCGCAAACGGTAGGCATGTATTCAACGGCCAAATGCTTGAGTCTCTCAAACATATAGAAATTACAGCCGCCGTAAGGAATCATTGCCAACACTGTTGGTGTGATTCCGCGATACAGACCAACCATTTTGCCCTCATTTTGAAACACGTATACAAGTGTACCGACAATAGTGGTCGGGAACTTGAGGCCATCCACGGTTGTGGTCACGTGAAAGGCCAGTCGAGCCCTCACTAAATCCAATGGATAGGTCATCAAAGCTGAGGTCACGCCAGCCATAGAGCCGGCGAAGAATTTCAAGGAATGATTCACTTTTCCCGACTCAGACTCGCGGGTGAATATGGATAGACCTCTCNAAGGCCAGTCGAGCCCTCACTAAATCCAATGGATAGGTCATCAAAGCTGAGGTCACGCCAGCCATAGAGCCGGCGAAGAATTTCAAGGAATGATTCACTTTTCCCGACTCAGACTCGCGGGTGAATATGGATAGACCTCTCTTATAGATCTCGAATGAGCTGAACTGCACGGCAGCGTATGGGAAGATCCGCACCATTTGGGCCCCATTTCCTATCAATACATCATTTACTCGTTATATAAGTGTTTTAAGAAATGTGACAAAAAGTTTCAAAACCTTTATAAAGGCTAATAAATCGCTCTTTTCTGATGATAGCCTTAAGTCCAGAGAAAACTCCAAATTCTTTGTAGTGATTGTTATGGACCTGAAGGAGGATTTTGATGCGATCGAGTGGTGCGACCGCTGTCTTGGAGGTCATGCCAGCGATACCTCCGGCCAGAAATGATTTGGCCATAAATACCGGATTCTTGAGGTCTGATGTACTCATTGTGCGCTCAACTTATTATAACTTTATAACTGGATTTGATGTCAAATCAATACTTCACACAAATATTTCACTATTTATGTGAAAAAAGTAAACTTTTATTTCCAAACAAACTATTAATTTTGTTTTTCAAATCCAAACCACAAAACTGTTTGAATAGATTATGCAGTGATTTGTGAGCATTGAATATAAGGTCAGATATTAGATTAACGGTAAATGTTTGTATATTTCGTATATATTATATGCACTGATAATCACTTATATGTTAAATGAATAGCAATTTATTGGCACTTTTGTTGAATAATAAAGCTTTATATTAGAAAAAAATGTAATTTAATTAAACAATAATTAGTCGAAGAGTTTCACAAATGAATAGATATTTTTGTGAAATATTTGGCATAAATGTGAACATGTATTGGAGTTGTGAGGGGTTGTGAGAGGACGTGAAAACTTGTATTCAACGTTCAATGTATTGATGATATCAAGTGGTCCTAAAACTCACGTATTTTGAGGTTAAGTACACGTGAAGTGAAAGACAGGATCCAAACAAACAGGTCTTCAAACATATCATCCGTTTGTCTTAATATTATGCTAATTGTCTGTCAATGCATACCATCTGTAATATGACAACACTTTATACTGTTTATGGCTATAATTATCCACCGATTGCTTGCATTAGCTTAGAGTCAGTCAAATATTAACCACAATTTATGCAATAATTAACACGTGTTTCAAATGGTAGACCGGTTTAGAGATAGTTATGAATTGCATTCAAACTTAACCATACATTACATCAAACAAATCAGACAAATGCCATACATTTGGACTAATATTTTGGTCAGTTTTTGTTGTCTATTAATTACATAACAATTGTTAATAAGTTTTAATTGAACTTCAATTAAAGGGATAAATAAAATGACATATAAAACAGGTTTGTGTCAAACATTACAAAACCAAAACACTTGATGC